AAAGACAGCATCTTCAACAAATGGTGCTGGTCCAACTAGATGTCCACATGCAGAAAAATGAAAATAGATCTATATTTATCACCCTGCACAAAACTAAAGTCCAAGTGGATCAAAGACCTCAACATAAAACCAGATACTCTAAATCTGTTAGAAGAAAAAGTGGGGAACAGCCTAGAACTCATTGGCACAGGAGACAACTTCCTGAACAGAACACCAACAGCACAGGCTCTAAGAGCAACAATCAATAAATGGGACCTCATAAAACTGAAAAGCTTCTGTAAAGCAAAGGACACTGTCATCAAAACAAAATGACTGCCTACAGATTGGGAAAGAATCTTCACTAACCCTTTATCTGACAGAGGACTAATATCGAGTATATAAAATGATCTAAAGAAGCTGAAAAGCAGCAAACCAAGTAATCCAATTAAAAAATGGGGAACAGAGCTAAACAGAGAATTCTCGACAGAGGAATATTGAATGGCAGAGAAACACTTAAAGAAATGCTCATCCTCATTAGCCATCAGGGAAATGCAAATCAAAACGACCCTGAGATATCACCTTACACCCATCAGAATGGCCAAGATGAATAACTCAAGGGACAACACATGCTGGAGAGGTTGTGGAGAAAGGGGAACCCTCCTCCACTGCTGGTGGGAATGTAAACTTGTACAACCACTCTGGAAATCTATCTGGCGCTTTCTAAGGCAATTAGGAATAGTGCTTCCTCAAGACCCAGCTATACCACTGCTAGGTATATACCCAAAGTTTGCTCAAGTACACAAAAGGGATATTTGCTCAGCCATGTTTATAGCAGCATTATTTGTAATAGCCAGAACCTGGAAACATCCCAGATGTCCATCAACGGAGGAATGGGTATAGAAATTGTGGTATTTTTATACAATGGAATACTACTCAGCAATCAAAAAGGAGGAAATCATGAAATTTGTTGGCAAATGCTGGGATCTAGTAAAGATTATCCTGGGTGAAATATCCCAGAATGAGAAAGACAAACACGGTATATAGTCACTTATATAGACCTATAAGATGTGATAAACATAATGAAATCTGTACACCTAAAAAAGATAATCAAGAGAGCGGACATGGGGTAAGATGATCAATCCTCATTTAGAAAGACAGATGGGATGTGCATTGAATGTATGACAGGAGTCTACTGAGTGCATTTGAAAAACTCTAACTAGCAGTGTTTTCAAAGCAAAGACTCATGACCAAACCTTTGGCATAGTACAGGGAATCATAAGAAAGAAAGGGAGTTAGTCTGATGGGGAAAGGATAGGAGCTCCACAAGGACCAAATATATCTGGGCACAGGGTCTTTTCTGAGACTGACATTCAACCAAGGACCATGTATGGATATAACCTAGAACCTCTGCTCAGATGTAGCCTGTGGTAGCTCAGTAATCAATTGATTTCCCATAGGGAGAGGAACAAGGACTATTTCTAACAGGAACTGAATGACTGGCTCTTTGGCCTCCCCACCCCCCAAGGGAGGAGCAGTCCTGTTAGGCCACAGAGGAGAGCTTTGCAGCCAGTCCTGAAGATACCTGATAAAACAGGATCAGATGAATGGGGAGGAGGTCCCCCCTATCAGTGGACTTGGCAAGGGGCACGGTGGAGAGGAGGGAGGGAGGGAGGGACTGGGAGGGAATGAGGGATCGGGACATGGCTGGGATACAGAGTTAATAAAATGTAACTGATAAGAAAAAAATAAAATTCAAAAAAAAAAAAAGGAAATCCTTTTGTGAAGCAAAGAACACTGTAAAGAAAACAAAATGACAGCCTACAGACTGGGAAAAGATTTTCACCATCACAACATCTGACAGAGGTTTAATATCTAGAAAATATAAAGAACTCAAGAAATTAAACACCAAAAAAGAAAATAATCCAATTTAAATATAGACTGCAGAGCTAAACAGAATTCTCTACAGAGGAATATTGAATGGCAGAGACACACTTAAAGAAATGCTCAACCTCCTTAGTCAGTAGGGAAATGCAAACAAAAACAACCCTGAGGTTCCATCTTACACCAATCAGAACTGCTAAGTTCAAATAATAAAATGTAACTGATAAGAAAAAAATAAAATTAAAAAAAAAAGAAAACCACAACTGGTCAAAATGCAGAGAACAAGTGATTGTGGGGTGCCCAGACCTAATTGATACATCTATAACACTCCTCTATACCTAAGGCTCAGGGAGCATCTTGGAAGAAAAGGCAGAAATACTGTAAAAAGCTAGATGACCAGATAATATGCTCTGATATTTTGTTTCCTAGAAATGACTCAGAAGATTCAACCATGATACCTCAACATTGTGGCTGCCTGAAGAAGACCTGAATAGAGCACAACACCAATAGACAGGTTAACTTGACATTGGAAAATCTCACAGGGCTCCACCCTTAGACAATGATCTGCAGGCAACTAAGGGATCGATCCTGAGAATGACAAAAATAGTTCTTTCCATGGAATGAGCCCCACACAATAAGTGGTCAACTCTGAAATATAAATTCATATATTCCCAGGTAACACTAAGTGGACTGAACAGGTTTTCTGTGTGTGTGTGTGTGTGTTGTGTGTATAAAACATTAATAGAGAAAAAGAGGCTAGAGGGAGCACAGAGGGATACAAAAGAGGGACCAGAGCAGTGTTTCTCAATCTTTTTAATGCTGTGACCTTGTAATACAGTTTCTTATGTTGTGCTGACTCCTAACCATAAAAGTAGTTCATTGATACTTTATAACTGTAATTTTGCTACTGTTAAGAACTGTGATATAATTATCTGATATGTAGGATATCTGCTATGCAACCCCTAAAGGGGTAGTGGTTCACAGGTTGAGAACAGCCCGGACTAGAAGGAGGAAAAGGAAAGGAAAACTAATAGAATTATATTTTAATTTTTGAAATGAATTTGTTTTGTTTTATTTTATATGTATGGGTGCTTTCTCTGGATGTATGTCTGTGCTCCACATTGGTGCTGTACCAGTGTGGCCAAAAGAGAGCATCAGGTCCCTTGGAACTGCATGTAGTTAAGGATGGCTGTGCATCACCTCGTGGGTGCTAGGCAGTGAACCAAGGTTTTCTGTGAGAAAAGCCAGTGTTTTCAATAACTTCTAGCTATCTCTCAAGTTTTAAAAGGTCTGTTTTAAGATCAGAGAACAGGATTTACTCCAAAGAAGGGTGTGTCTTCATTATCCTCCATCATGGCTTCTTTGGAACTGATTCAAGTTGCCCACATTCTCAGATCACTGCGCCCCTTGAAATACTCCATACTCATTGACTATCTTTAGGAGACCTAAAATGGATTAGATAGATAGAGTTGCAAGAATATAAAATGCTGCTCTCCGAGAATAGTCTTCTACATCACATTCATTTTTTTCCCTCCTCTATAAACTGAACATGTTCACTTTGCCTTTTTCTAAGCCATTTTAATGTACTCTGCCCAATTCCCCATGGCTGTTATCATAAAAAATATTCAGATTTCACCAAGGTATAATACCTTTCCCAGGTCAAAAGACATACCCTCATCAGGGCCATGGTTGCAAGGAACTAGAAGCCAAATCCTGACAGTGGAGTGAGATTTATGAAGAATCCCCAAGTTCTTCCTGGGACAGAGTGATCAGATCAGCAGAGAAACTCTTCATTCAAAGCTTTCTATGGAAGCAGGGAGTAAATTTCTCCCAGTAGTCTGAGGTCATAGCTTTAATCTGTGCACTCTAGAGACAACTCAGCTCTGATTGATGTCCATGGAGAGCCCTCAGATCATTAAAGGACTGACTTATTTGTTGTGACAATAATGGCATTCAACCATAAACATCTATCAGTGTGTTCTGAGTTGTTCTCTTACACCAAACCATTAACTATATTTAACTTCGTGTGGAAATACACTGGTTTCTGAGCTGCGGTATTCTCAGTTTCCTTTCCTCTTAATGCATTTCAGAAGTGACTTAAGCTGTCTCAAAGTGATTTGTGCTTTATACATCACCACGATAGTTTAAACTATATAAACTTACCTGTGTTAGCAGAAGAAAATACATGATGGCCAAGACCTGATTTTTGTGACATGGTGCTTTCACTGAAGAAGAAAGTCATCTATTCAACACAATGAGGCTCAGAGAAATTGTGTAATAGCTGACTCTGGTCACTTTAATAACTTCTCTGTTGTTCCAGAGGTTAGTTTGGAAATTTGCAAACCTTCTTAGTTGTGCCATTTGGAAACAATTTATATACTATTTCTTCCCAGCTACACTTGAAGTACAACTTTTGGTATTTTAACATATGAAGAAAATATAACTCTTCATGTTTTGAAGTGTTTATACATTATTTTCCAAATGCCAACTTGGTGATACTTCAAACTTTGAACTCATGTGAATTTATACTCAGCTTATATTAATAATATCTCCTCTCTATTATCTTTGAATATTAAAGCTGAAATTAAAATTGATGCTTTCAGGTTGGAGGGATGACCCCGTCAGTAAAGCACTTGCTTTGCAAAAGTTTGATTCCCCAGACCCTATGTAAAAATACCAGAATTGGTGGCAGACACTAAACTCTGAGTTGACAGAAATAGGAGTATCACCAGGACTACCTAGTCAACCAGTCTGGCTTAATCATTGAATTCCAGATCAACAGGAGACTTTATCTTAAAGGAAGTCTATATCATTCTTTAGGAACATACTTGAGAATGTCTTCTACACATACACGCACAAGCGCACACACACAAACACACACACTAAACCTGATGATTTCCCAATGTTAAGCTCTTTCAACCCATGTCTTTCCCCCTCCATTTCAAATTGAAATAAAGTTATATAACTGACACCCATCTAATTTTGTATTCATGATAACTCTAACTATATCTTCTTTCAACCTCCTCCCTTTTGGTTCACATGAAAACCATCTAATATTGTTGTACATGGTTACAGATACCAAAAATATTGGCACTAGTTTACAAACTAATACTAATTAACAAAGTTATTTTAAAGATCATTTTATTTTGGAAACAATATTTTGCAATGCATATAACATATTTCAGCAGGTAAGCTATCATCAAATGCACAGAACATCATTTTGCTTGAGGAGATATTATTTTCATTTATGAGTTGACCATGTCCATGGATACCAAGCATGTTTTTCTATTTTCCCAGAGAACCCATCAATGGATCCTAGGGAAATGAGTAAGAGGCACTGAAGCAGCTATCAACTGTCCAGTACTAGTAACTGCTTTTGGTGTGTACCACAGGGTAGATACTACATGATAGTGCCACAATTTGCTGAAAAGTTCTCTGGGTTTTTATTTCATTGAAGTCTTCTACAATTTAGTATCAGAGAGCCAGAACTTGAATAATTTTTACCCTTTTAACTGAAAATATCAGTACTTTTTAAAGGCAGATGTGTGGTTCTTTTCAGTTGTATGCAGGTAAATCAGAGCCTTATGTTTCCTCCTAACCACCTTCTTCAAATAATGTTTTATAGATGAGCCAGGAGAGATATTTAAATGTGGATGGATACACGAAGAAAGAAGCTCTAGTATATCAGTCTCTTTTTCCTAGTTTCTTTGCCATACATTAATGATTTCCTACTAATCTGAGCAATGACAAGGTTAGGACATTTCCAGACATTCTTTTACTAAGACATTTATGAAAAACTCAGGCACCCAGGCATGTCCTAGGTCATGACATTCTGCAGAGGGCTAGACTGTTTCCTTGAACACCCGACTATAAGCCACGTGATTGTCTGTGGTCAGGGCGTTTTTCAGACATTGCCAGAAGTATGGGTGAGCCTGTGGGTTTGCAGGCCACTCAAGGACAGAACTCCTGCAGAGCCTCTTCCGGAGCTGAAGAAACTTCGACTTCTGCAAAGGCTTCTCCAAGAATATCAAGATAATCACATCCACTTTTTCGTCCATGAGCCTCTGATGGGACAAATAAAAAGCCACCTTAAAACTCTCAGTCTTTGCATAGTTTTGTGTCATCACAAACACTGTCTTTTTGCTGAGCTGTATGCTCTTGGAAAGGTTTTCTAGGATTGGCTGACCTGGTAGCCAGTCTCTTTCCTCTAGACACAAATTAAAATGTTTCTCTCTTGGATCTTCCAATTTAGCGACCAGCTCCTGCAAAACCCATTCAGTCACAGCTGAGTCTTTAGTGTCATACACAATAAATGCATCATAGCAAGACTCCATGGATTGCAGATGTTGATACCCCTTAATCTTGGCTTTCCAGAAATAGTAAATATACCACATATCCCAGAAAAAGAGGTGACTTGTTGTCATAACTACCATCAGAAAGAGGATTGAAGATATGGAAACCGAGAACAGAATCAGGTTTGTGAGATCTAACTCACATGTATATAGATCAAGGGATACAAGGCTCTGGCCTTTGTGTGCTCCTGGCCCCACACAAGTCACGTCAGTGGCCAGGTAAGGAATAGTAACATTTGTGTGATTAACCCACCAGACAAACCACACGGCATCACAGTTGCACACAAAACGATTGTGATGTAAAAGTAACATCTGCAGATTGTTGAGGACATTTTCTGGGAAGCTAGTCTTCTGAATAATCTGGATCTTATTTGAACTGAGGTCTAGATAGTTCAACTGGAAAGCATCTTCAAGAAAATATTTCGTCAAATGCCTGATTTGATTATTCTTAAGAATCAGTTTCATGAGAGTTTTGGAACAGTTGGCCAATCTTGCAGGGAGAATCTTCAGCTGGTTGTAGCTAAGGTCCAAAATTTCCAAATGCTTCAGTAACTGGAGCTTGCCCCAAGAAAAAGATCTGAGCCCATTTTCAGCCAAGGAAAGAGTCGTTAGATTTGGTGGCATACCCTCAAAAACCCCATCAGGCAAGGATTTCAGGGAATTTCTGGAGATATCTAATTCTTTTAACTTGAACAGATTCTTGAAAAAGTCCAAATATCTGTTATCACCTTCTCTCCATAGAATATCTAAATGGTTGCCTCTGAATTCAAGAATTCTAAGAGAGCCACTTTCCATGGTCCTGCTGGCCGAGGTAGAGATGTCATTGTCATTCATCATGAGTTTCTTTAGATGCTTCAATTTCTTGGTAAAGTTTAGCATGTGAGTGATTCCTTCTGCTTGAAAATAGTGGCTGTTACTACTTAAATCCAGAACTTCCAGTTTCTGGAGCTCTTCAAAGGCTGTTGAGTAGAGTAAATCAAGGCGGTTGTTGGAGAAGTCTAAGTATTGCAGCTCTCTTAAAGGCTGGAGTTCACTGCCATTAAGAGTTTGGCCAATGGTGTTTCCAGACAAGTTGAGACATTTGAGGAATGAAAGATGCTGAAAATCAGAGGGCTTGATAAAAAATATATTATTTCTACTTAGGTCTAAGGTCTGCCCGTATTTGTGGCAGTCTGTATTCGAAGGCAAAGAAGTAGGCAGGTCTTTATTTTTGAACCTGCAGCTCCGTGCATATTCATCATATTGGAAATAATGTAAGGTCTCAAGGATTTGGGGTCCATGCTGGTCAACAGAAGTTCTGGCATTAGGACAGAAGCCAAGTTCTCTTGACTCCTCAGAAGGGGATATCTTATTTACTGAAAGGTCTATGATTTTAAGGTTTTCAAACTGTTTGAATATGTTGAGGTCAGCAATTTTTATGAAGTTAGTGCCAAGGTCAAGAACTTCAAGATTTGGAAGCTCATGCAATACAGAAAGGCTGGTGTTTTTCAGCTCTTTAAAGACATATCCCTTGATATGCAGAAATTTTAAGTTTTTTAATGAAGAGAGTGAAGGTGGTAAAGTTATAGATGCATGGTAGACCTGCAGCTCATAATTAAAAGACAGATCTAACTGGACAAGGTTGGGGAGATGTTCCAAAAAGTTGGCCTGCTCAATTTCTCTGGCCAAGTAGTTTTGGGACAGGTCTAGTTCCTGAAGGTTCTGCATGTTTTTGAACCATTCTTTGAGCACATGTTTAAGAGAGTTACTGTGTAGACGTAAAACTTTTAATCCTATCAATGAATCAAAAGCATTGGGATGGATCTGTAAGGGGGAATTGTTTTCACATGGTGTACACACATATGGGACATTGTAACAGCGAGGGCAATTTCCACTTAGGTCAAGAATTTGCAGTTGAGTAAGGTTTTTAAAATCGTCTTCTTGGATGCTCTTAATGATATTGTTATAAAGATAGAGTTCCATTAAATTAGATGGCAAAGTGGTGGGGACTTCTGTGATATTGTTATCTTTCAATGAGAGAACCTTTAAATTTTTCATAATTGAGAAAGAATCTTTTTCAATGTTATAGGAAACATTGCAAGGATTTCGATAATAACAATTTTGACCCAGATAGAGTGCTTCAATGTTGACCAATTTTGTTAGATTCTCCTTCGTGATGAGGAAGATATTATTGGCCTCGAGGCTCAGAAGTTGTAAGCTTTGTGGGAGATCCTGAGGTATCTCTAGAAGTTGATTTCCATCCAGGTAAAGGGACTTTAGGTCAGAGAGTTCACTAAAGCTTTGAGGTTTAATCTGCAGCCTCTTGGTACACACATTGGCTTTGGACCCCAGTAGAATAGGTACACAGTTGCATCTTAAATCAATCTCTTCCAGACGGTTCAGCCTACGGAAGGAGTCTGGAGAAATACTTGGTATGTGGTTGATGGTAAGGGTAAGGTTGGTGGTGTTAGTGGGAATACCCTCAGGGATTTCTGTCAAATGCTTGTCTGTGCAGTCCACAATCACATGGGTCTCTGAGGGATCTTGAGTGACATTACAAGGCAGAGTTTTGGGAAACCATGGAACTCCAAAGACTCTAGAAACTAAGATCATATTTAGAAAAATAAAAATTTGTCTCTTCAGTGAGCACATTGCCGATACCTGAAAATAAAAGACAACAAATTATTTTTATAAAATATAACAAGGAACAATTCAAAAATTTCATTTACTTTCTCTCTTCTGGCACATTATTAAAAGTAAACAATGTAGGTCTTTTTTGTAATGGTATAAATGGCACCTCTGGCCCTGTGACTGTACTTGTCAATCACTGGTTTTCGATAAATTGTTTTATGTTTTGCTTGTTGCATCCTAGCATTCTAACAAAATCACGTAAAGAACCTTTATACATTTTTTTAATTTATCATGTGTGAGTATTCATATGTATGTGTCTGTGGGTTTGCACATACCATGATATGATTGTGGAGGTCAGATGACAATTTGTGAAAGTCTGTTCTCTCTTTCCACTTCCAGATCAAACTCAGTTCATCAGGTTTGTTGGCAATTACCCTTACTGACTTAGTCACTGTTATATGGTGGTGATGAAATACCACAACCAAAACAACTTATGAAAGGAAGTGTTTAGTCTGATTCTTGTTTCTAGTTTCAGAGGGTGAATTCATGATCATCATGGCAGAAAGTGTGGTAGGAGACAGGTAGGCATGACACTGGAGCAGTAGCTGAGAACCCACATGTTATCTGTAAATTGCAGGCAGAGAAGGAGTAAGACTGGGACTGGCATGGAGGTTTGAAACCTCAAAGTCCATCCCCTTTGACACACTTCTTTCAACAAGGTCACACCTCTTCCAACAAGGCCAGACTTCCCAATCCTTCCCAGAAGTTCTACTAACTGGGAACCAAGTATTCAAGCATAAGCCTATGGGGCCATTCTCATTCACATCACCATACTTAACCACTGAGTCATCTCCCTTGCTGCCCCAAACAGTTTTTAAGATGCAGAAGTGGCATTGCCTATTTGTTTTTACATAGAATTCTATAACAGGAAGGCCCCAAACTATGAGATTTGAGGAGTAATGAATGCCAAAAATATAGACACTTAGGTGAACAGTGCATATCAGTATAATTAAATGTTTTCTTGCTAAGCCTTCCTTGGAACACATGCAAAAATCCTTCATGATTATCAAGCCTCATAGTATTCAAAGGATACAAATGAAAAAAAAATCCACTCTCCCATTCTCCCTCTATTACAAATGAAGACACAGGCTTTCCAGATGATATTCGATTATTAGACACTTGCTTCTACCATTCTGTAATATAGATCTTCCTTTGGATTGTTTTAGAAGTCATTGAAGAAATCACCTCTAAGATGATTTGTCATGCTTTCCCTGCACACTGGGTTTTGTTAGGTTTTAGGGTCTGAGACACCTAGTTAGAGGAGAGATGCAGAGTCAGATCAACCTTCAAGCAAAGGGTTTCTTAGAGTTAACAAAGCATCAAGATTTTTTTTTAAAGGAAAGCATTATCCTGCTTGGTGAGAGAGTAGGGAGAGAGGAAAGTGTGGCATTAGGAAATGGGTCCAAGGTTGACTGATATCACCGTATTAGATTAGAGACACCTTTATTTTTTTTTTCTTTTTGAAATAAGACAGTGTTTCTGAGGAGGGTGTTTGAAAAGTCTCAAGGACATATTTGGATAAAGAGCTTTCAGAAGAACAATGGGTCTAGTTAATATGTGATGTATCCGATGGTCTCTTTTTCTGCCTGTAAACCAAAATCTATTTAGCATTTTGATATCTGAAAGAGCCCTTTCCCCATTTTCAAGAAGTACCCATCTCCAGGAAGCTGAGGAAAAGAAAACTGTGAGGGGAGGAAAGATGTAACTGGATATGGCCTGTCATCTTTCTACAGTGGCTGGGTTGATAAAAAAAAAAAAGGGGGACTACCTGGAGGTGTCAGGTCTAACAGGTTTCTATTATATAATGTTGGAAAGGTATGATTAGCATCATCACAGGAATGCCTGATTGAACCATACTCACATCAGCAACACACCTGGCAGAATGAGATGGTAATAAAACTGAAGGATACCATAGTTAACCATTGTGCTAAGATGAAACTAAGAAGCTCTCAAGAAAAATGGGATGTATAGGCACCCACTCCTAAAGACAATAACCTGTAACCATCAAAGTTTGGCATATGAGGTTTTCCAGTGATAAGTGAGAGACACTGAAGAACTCTCTCTGTTTATCCACTGGCACCAAGGCAGAGTGGGTTAAAGCATGGGTTTGTTCTTATGTTTCAGTTAGTAGTTATTTTTAATCTACTCCAGAACCCTCATTCAGTTTCACTAATACTTATAAAACTTATATATAGTTATAAGACTTTAGCTCTGTTAATCTAGTCACCCTTTGAAGTTATAATTCTCCAACTGGAACATTCAGAGATACCTGGAATATATGACAGTAGGCCAGAAACTCTAAAAAGCCCTTAAATAAATATGGTGATAAATATGGCATATTTACTTAAAGCATAAGTATAGAGATTTAGGGGAAATGTTCACTAATGGTAAATGAGAGGCTGAGTCAAGAGAGGAGAATAGACCTTAAAAGAGAGAAGTAGAGCATTCTCTTAGTATGGATCTCAGACCCTGAGTCTCAAACACAACTATGCTTCTGAGAGAAGATGTGATGGATGTATGGTAGAAGACATGATGATTGCACAATCAGGATACAGTGTATTGCTAAATGTGATGTTAGGGACCAGAAGGGTGATTGTATTCCAGAAGAGGCCAATACAGATAAAGGACCATGGTCAGGGGCTAGAGAGGTGGTTCAGTGGTGAAGAGCACTTGCTGCTCTTCCAGAGAACCCAAGTTTGATGCTCAGAACCACCCAAATAAGGTGGGTCACATCCACTTGTAATTCCAGCTCTAGGGCATCAAGCTCCCCTTTTTGGCCTCCACAGGCATCAGCACTCATGTGCATATTCATCCATACATGCATATAAAGACTAAAATATTCTTTTTTTTTTTTCTAAAAAAAGGATTTGAGTACTTTCTTTCCCCAAACCCATACAAGACCCTTTGAATGAATGGAGGCACATCCATGTTAACTGATTTAAGAGCAGGAAGCTGTAGAGTAATCAGCAAACTAAGTTTCCCAGAATGTTCTTAACTTTGGGATTTCATCTCATCCCAGTTAAAATGGTCAAGACCAACAAAACAACTGACAACAAATGCCTGCAAAGTTGTGGAGAAAGATGATCCCTCATTCACTGTTGGTTTGGAATGCAAATTGATACAGTCACTCTAGAAATCAGTATGGAGAATTCTCAAAACCTTGAAAATAACTTTACTGTATGATCCAGCTATACTACTCTGAGGCATATGCCCAAAAAACTCAATATCTTACTTCACAGAGACTTGAACAGCCATTTTATTCACAAAATCCAAGAAAAGAAAACACTCTAAATGTCCTTAAATACATGAATGTCTAATAAAAATGTGAACATATACACAATGAAATACTATTTTGCTATAATTAAAAAAGAAATTAAAAACTTTCCAGGTAAATGTGGGAGCCTAGAAAAATTTTATTGAGTGAGATAATTGAGACCCAGAAAGACAAATGCCACATGTTCTCTCTCACCTGAAGTTCTCAACTCCAAATCTTTAAATGTGATTATACAACATGAAGAAATCACAGAAACCAGGAATTACAAAGGGACATAGGTAGGGATGGGTGGGAGGGAAATAATAGGATACAGGTAATATGACGTGGCAAACAGGATAAATGAGGAGTGGACTCCAACTGGTAAAGAAGGTGGGAGGTCAGTATAGAAGGAGAAGGAGCAACAAATAATATCAGGGTTGTATGATAAACCCTCAAAGAATTATTTTATATTTACCTGAAGTTATATGCAATATATATTATGTACACACATATATATATATCATTATATATAACAATAATATATATAATATAATAATATATTATATATACATTATATATGTGTGTATATTATGTATAATATATTAATATATTTTGTTTACACAATATATACTATATTAAATATATATTATATATAAGTATGTAAGTATAAACACATACATAAGTGGCAATCACCTGTCAGTGGCAACTAACAGCTGTATAATTAGAGATATGGCTCACTCAACAGGAGGGAAGTCATGCCTGGTGCTGGAAATCTAGCCAACTTTCCAGGGATAATGAAATCATGTGTCTTAGAAAAGAAACTACTACCGTTGCTTTGCTAAACAGCTCAATTCCTTATCTATCTTCTAAATCTTATCCTTATATCCTCAGATATCAGATAATTGTAGCTATGACTCCTTATCAAATAAGCGTTACTTAACAGCAAATTGAGCCCATCACAGAAACCAAAACTGGGCACAATGCAGAGACCAAGATATCCTTGGGAACCCAGCCCAAACTCATACATCTATATGTCAGCTTCTGCATCTGTGACTCAAGGAACACTTCAGATGAGAGGGCAGAAAGAGTCAGAATTCCAGTAAGTCTTCTGTGAAATAGTATTCCCCAAATATATCTATGTAAAAAAAGACCAAAATATTGGCAATATCAACTTACATGTTAACACTGAAGAAGGAAAATTTGATAGGGTCCCTCCATAGACAAAATCTACAAGCAAGTATTGATTAGTGAGAGGATGAGAATTAGCCTCTCCCAGAGATGAGCCCCCTTATTGATTAATGCAAAGTTGTCAGCCTTCAAACCATATACACACAAACAACAAAAATGGATTCAACAGGTTGTGTTTGTGTATGGATACTCATACATACACAACAAATATCATCAAAGAAAAGTAGTTATCAACTTGAGAGTGTGAAGGATGGTTTAAGAGAGGGTAGCTAAAGAGGGGCTGGAGGAGGAAAAGAGGAAGAAGTATATAGGTCTATTTCAATTAAATACATTCTGAAAAAAGAAAAAAATGAAGACTAAGGAAGCTTAATCATAGACAAAGAAAGTCAGAATTTAACTAGTGGTAGGCTGGTAAGTGTTAAACAACCAGCTCCCTATCTCAACAAAAGTTCCTCATTTATTACATCTTGATTTTTTAGGATGTCAATTTCTTTTAAAATATATATTTATTTTTATTTTATGTGTAAGT